TATCTTCTCCACACCCTTCTTCACCTCCTTCACGGTGTTGTAGCAACCTGGCCTTCCCTCAGTTCCTCAACGATATCATTCCTCTTGCTTTAAGGCCTTGACACAGTGTTCCCTTGACCCGGAATAGTCTCACCCTTTCTCACCTAGTAAAGCCATACTTGTCTTTTAGATGTCAAGCTCAATTTTTACTCTTAAGAAAGCTTTCTTTAATTCCTCCAGATAGAGTAAACCCCATTATTTGTTTTCATAGCACACAGTACCCTGTAATTTTCCTTCTTAGCACTAGTCAGAAATTATAAAAATATTTGTGTGATTATTTGATTATAAGTTTTCCTCCTGTTAAACTGTAATCCCTATTATTGAGGGACCATGCATATTTTATTATTCACCAGCACAGTACCTAGTACATAGTAGGAAATAAATGAATGACTAGACAGGACATAAACACCAAGGAAACTTATATATTTGTACAATATATAAACCATATCATATTGCCTAAACAGAATATCTATATTGACCTACACACAAAGACAATTCCCAAATAACAATGCCTCCTATTTTCTCAGTGTGAAGAACCTTTAAGTATATAGATTTTTCTTAAAATATTTTGCTTTTTCTGTTAATTGTACATAACAAAAAGAGTGTACAAGATTCTTCCCTTTATGAATCTTTTGCCAACATAAGGATCAAAACTACTCCATTTAAAATAAAAAATGGAAGGAAGAAAAGCAAGAGAGAGGGAGAAGGAAGGAGGAGAAGAGAGCGAGGAAGAAGTAGGGAACGAGGGAAGGAGAAACCACATAAAAACTACTTCTAAAATAGTAGAATAAAATAATAACTTTTAAAAATCATTTTAAAAGCTTCAAAGGTCTTATTTTTCAGAGGTATAAATATATAGATTCAACTGTACTAGATTACAATTGTATATAGTAACATATACTATTTTTATATGTATAATATAGTATATAGTAGAAAGTATAGCTTAATCACAGGCACTATAATAACCTAGTTAAATGCAAAGATTGAAAATATCTGAGGAGTTTCAGATGTACAAAAACTGTAAACTGAGACATTTTGAGATCTAAAAGACAAGCATGACTTTATTAGGCAAGAAAGGATGAGAAGATCATTCCAGGCAGAAGGAACTCTTGCCTTAAAGCAAGGGGAACAATATTGAGGAACCCCGACGGCAGGCCAGGGAGGCTAGAACACCTTGAAGGAAGTGGAGAAGGGTATGGAGAAGACGACATAGGATTTTAGGTTTTCTACTGAGAGCAATGGAAATGTGAAACGAAAGGATCAAAATCATTGAACACCAAATTGAAGCAGAGATCAGAAGCAAATTTGAAAATTTTTTTTAAATTTCAAAAATCAACATTACCGTGTCCACATTAAACACCCTGACAGTTACCATAAATTGGCCAATATTTTATCTATTTAAGAACACAGAATAATAAAGATGTGGACTACCGAAAAACAAAATATAAAGTGTGCGCATAAAGGGTTAACACAGCAGGCCTGACTGCTAGCCTATCAAAGGCCTGCTTCCAAGGCTGGCGCTTGCCTGGATTTCAGGAGAGTTCCCGCCATTCCCAGAACTGGCAGCAGTGGCTCACTGTGCCTAAACTGTTTGTACAAATAATATGGTCTATGCTGAACACCTGCTTTCCTTCTGGGAGTCAGAAATTTTGGTACACAACACCGGGCAGAAGCTGCCTATGTGGCCAGCCCCCACTAAAAACCTTGGGGACTGCATCTCTAATGAGCTTCCCTGGTTGGCAACATCTCAAATGTGTTGTTACAACTCCTTGCTGGAGGAATTCAGCCCGTCTTTTGTGACTCCAGTGAGAGCAACTCTGGAAGCTCATGCCTGGTCTCCCCTAGACTCAGCTCCATGCGTCTTTTCCCTTTGCTGATTCTGCTTTGTATCCTTTTGCTGTAATAAATTACAGCCATGAGTACAAACAACTGCATGTTGAATCCTGTGAGTCCTCTGAAAGAATAACTGAACCTGAGGGTGGTGTTGGGAACCCTGACACAGAGTGAAATTACATACTGACTCATTTAAAGGTTTCACTATGAAATTAGAAGCACATTCTTCTAATTTTTAATAAAGTACAAGACAGAAAAATAACATATACTACGTAGAGAATACCAACATTTACTCAGCAGTATTATGGCACTTAGGTTTTTAAGTCTTATTTACACATTAACATACACCTAGCAACCACATTTTAGAATACGCAAAGTTTTCCTACTAGATGTTTTCTATTAAAACAAGAATGTTTTTCCTTAGATAACAGCCATTGTGCTAAATTTGGGTATTATATAATAATATACCATTAATGTATTCAGCATAAAGAGGCAAAAAAATTTAGAAACCCTCCAGCAGAAAAGGGAAAAAAACCCACCAAGGTACCTGTCAGTTTAATATAAACATATGCTAAATTATTATGAATTAATAACAACCTTATGGGATAGCTACATTCTTAAATGTCTGAAGATCAGAACCATTCATTACTATTAAGTATCTTTTTACTTTTTGCTTTTGACTCTCTGGTGTGTTATAATTTCTCTTATGCTATTGTAAAAGTGATACTGGTCACCAAAAGCTGATTTTAAAAGGTGTTTTACAGAGGAAGGAGACTAGGTATTAAAATGGGCCTCTGTGAGAGTGTTTCTGAATTAAGTACTTCCTCACTCAGCTGAGCATTTCTGTCTTATGATAAAATGAACTGAATACTACATGGAATTTAAAACAGGCTGCTGAATGTCGCTTCAAGAACATAAATAGCATTGCTGCAAATATGTTGAGAAACATATCAGATAATAATGAGACAAGACACTTAGCTGCAATAAAGCAAATTCACTCAGTGACAGCTTATTGAACTTTCTTGTGAAAATCTGAGTATGCCTTTTGTGAATATGAATTGAACTTATTTTCTGAGCAATATAAAAAACTTTTATTTCTAAGTTACTAGTATTTTCATATAGTAGCATATTACTGAAGTAATGTTTCTTTGAAGTTACCATCTTAAGACCGCTTACAAAGTATTTTATTTTTCAGAATTGTATTTGTATCCAAAAATAGTCTTTATTTTTTGTCACAACGTGCTATAAAAATGTTTCCAGTCAACTAGTAAACAGATCATAAGGATCCATTCTAAGAAGTCACTGAATTTGCTTCAGGTATGGGGTTAACCAATTAAGTTAACCAAATACAATCTTTTAGGGGTGATTTTAGGTATGGAAACAGTTAACTTTGGGATTCTTAACCCAGTCTATAGTGCCTTTCTAAAATGCACATTATGTCATCCTTCTATTAAACAAACAAAGCAAAAACAACCCTAAACATCTCTGTATCGTGAACAGAAGAAAAGGTCTAAATTATTCAGAATGTTCTACAAAGCCCTTCATAACGTGGTCAGAACCTAACCTACCTTCCTCTCCTTTCACTTTTCCCAGGAGCTCCTAGTCTCCTCAGAGTAACCTATTTACCACTCCAGAAACCTCCTCTTTCCTGTTTGTTGACTGTTGCTTCCTCAGCCAGAAGGGCCCCTGGCCCTATTTTCACTTTCAGCTGCCCTCCTGCTCATTTTTCAAATCCAGCTTAATTGTCTCCTTCTTTGAGAAATCTTTTCCAGTGCTTCTAGGCAAAGCAAGTTATTCCTTTCCTCTGGTTTCATAATGCTTTTTATTCAACTTTGTTACATAATTCCTCAGCAGTCAGCAGAGTATCCTGCACATAATACGTGTTCAATCAATGTATTTATTTACATGGGCTTGAACAAGACCCACAGCCATCCAAAACCTAGAAGATAATGAGATACTCATATTTCTTAAATCAATACAAATGATTTAGCTACTGGGAATATTTGAGTTCTTGACAAATCTCATTGGCAATTTCAAGATACAATCTATTACAATTTAAAAGCATCTAAAGTTTTGCTTGCACAAAAGATTTCACCTATCACTCCTTTTTTATACTAAGTGTCAAGATATCCTTCATTTTTGTACAGTCATGCACATATAGTGATGTTTCAGTCAACAACGGACCGCATATCTGAAGGCAGTCCCATAAGATTAGTACCATATAGCCTAGGTGTGTAGTAGGCTGTGCCATCTAGGTTTGTGTAACTACACTCTATGATGTTCACACAACGATGAAACCACTTAATGATGCATTTCTCAGAACGTATCCCTGTAGGTAAGCAACACATGACTATACACGTATACTCTATTCTCAGCTTGACTCGCACATGATCAGTGACCCTCTCTCCTTTTCATTCACTCCAAGAGTAGAGCTTCAATTAATTTAAACTTCATTAAACGGAACCTTTAATTAGTTTCATTTACACCCATGCTCTATTTAGAAAAAAGAAAAAAAGATCTGAAAAAAATTCAAACTTCTAAAGCAAATGCTAAGCATAATCTCTTACATCTTCAGAATCTGTAATGCCGCAAAGGATTTCCTAGCGTGCTTCGGAAAACACTAACCCTTATAAATCACTTTTTAATAAGGCAGGGTCAAAGAAAAAGTATCTGTTATAATACTTTGCCTTCCACTGTAGTTCACGTCATTTGCAATTAAAGGAAACCTAATCACATTTCCTAATAAGAATTTTAAACATTTATATCACATTGAGAGGAGTATAAAATTAGAGCCACACGTTTCATTTTTTCACAGAACAAATTTAGGTAAGTCTATAAACACAAAATGACCTTTTAAAAATACTTGATCATGAAAAAAGTAAATTATGTCCTTATCCTTAGAGGAAAAACCATATACTAGATGCTAGTTCTTTAGGAAGGCAAACCAGTATCACTAAGCTTAACTCTCCATGAAAAGGTACATGGAGTCCTTAATTCATAGATTAGAAATTACTTTTAGAATCATTAAGTTGTGCCAAATGGTCATTCTCCTATGAGCAAATGAGTCAGCTACTCTTCCAGTGCCTATGCCAGGACAGTCTGTTAGTAACCAATGCAAGGGCAGATACCTTTATCCGAGTATGTGTGCTCTAATGCATGAAGATCAGGCAACAGGTGAATACAGTTTATGCAGCAGTAGGTGAAGAAATCAAGGACGACCACTTTTCCAGACAGATCCTTGTAGACAGAAATAGGTTCTTCTGTGTTCAACCATTCTAATCCTGAAATTTACACAAAATAAATTATTATGATTAAAGGAAAAGACAAAGATAATTGATCTCAAACTTTTCATTAAAATGTGAACCATTGTGATTTCTAAGGAGGGGATGGGGAGGTGAAGGGTGGGTAGGGGAAAGAGGATGGGAAAGGTGCTATTATGAGGCAGTCCGCAAATACAGCAAGAAAAAGCTACTAAATTCTTTCTAAAATAGTATAATAGTCTGTGTGTGAAAGGAAGTAAAATCAACACATTCAGGTAAAAACAAGAGGAAACATCAAATATTAATAGGACACAATCAGGTACAAATGCGCTATTTGAGAATGAAGGTCAACCTTAAGAATAGCAAGACATGACTAAATACCAAAAAGGACTAAGGTGGTAAAATATAAAGATAAACATACAAAATGCCTAGGCCAATTTCATAAGAGAAAGAGCTGAAATGCTCTGGATTTGAATGAGACCTTAAATACAAAATATTTTAAATGCAAAGTTAAGCAAAATATACTGTTATTATTATAGATTTCACGGAAGCAACATTAATACTGACGAAGAGTATGTTCCCTTCCCTCCAAAAAAAAGAAAAATAGAATCTCATTAATCTGTACTTTTGTAAATCGGAGTTTATAATTACTTAACTATGATTTACAATTTTAACTATGCACTACGAAGAAAAATTTTGTTAAACTAATATTAAAAGTACTGCATCTCTATTTAACCAATTAAGAAAACAAAGAAAATAAGTTTGTTGTTTATAAGTAAATAAATGCAGCTACTAAAACTATTAATTATACCTTGAAGCAGGTTATTTGGAAATATTTTATAGAAACTGACAGCCAAAGTTGGGTGGAACAAGTGAATAACATCTAACGACTAATAGCAGTAACTGGAGTTACTCGATTATAACAAAATTCTAAAAAAAAAAAAGAAAAAAATCTGCAAATCAAACTAGTATTTCTGCCAATCAGTCCAACCTAATGAGGTTTTAGGGTATAGTGAACTCTTAATTATCCATTTTAATAAAGTGTTAATTGTATACCAGATCAAGTAATTACACAAAACTTCAAAGTAGTTAGTGTATACTTCATATCCTAATTGCAAAATACTTATGAATCTTTTAAATTTTTTTCTGTAAATAGTCAAGAGTGACTTAGATAGGGGGTAGGGAAAGTATTATTACATGACAGTTATCGTGCTCGGTGCTTATCAGGCTTAATAATAGTAATAATAAATTTTATAACAATAATTACAATGAATATAATTTTAAAAAGCTGCTAACATTTACCAGGCTCTCCTACGAACTAAGAACTTTACATATATTACTTCCAATCCACATAATAAACCTGAAAGGTAAACACTGGCTCCATTTTATGAGTGAGAAAAGTAAGGCTTGGAGAAGTCAAGTGACTTGCTCAAAATCATGTAGTTAACAAATGGTATAACTGGGATTTAATCCCAGGTCTGTCTGAATCCATCCATTATACCACACCGCTTCCCATAAACATGTGTTTAAGAAATGAACAAAGCCTACCGTTTTTGAGACACAGTTATGTTTATGACTTCTTGATTACAGTTTACTGTTAAAGAAACCAAGAAAAAACTCATTTGTAGTATTCTGTCCTCAATAATCAGGTCCAGCAGGAAATGTGACTATGTCAAATATGAAGCCTGAATATTTTATTATATCATTTACGAGTCACAGAGATCAAATCTCATAGTAAAAAAATAAATTCATCGTAAATATAAACAAGACTAGAAAATAAAAACACTGGCCCAAATCCTGGCTGGTGGCCTGCTGGTTTGTTAACAGTGTACTATAATACATAACTACTTACAAAGTTTTAAAAAATATGCACATATGTATATAATCTTTTAAAGTTTCTTTGATGGGATAAGCATTCATACATCCAATTCTTTTGTTAAGAATTGCACAATATTTCAAGTCCAGTATAGGATCAATAACAGAAAAAATAAGCACTTTTCAAGGAGGGAGCAAAAGGCTGGGAAAGTCACAAGACTGTTGTCAGAGGCAGGGTTCTGATACACCTCCCATGAAATACTGAACGCTGCCACATCCAACCAATTAACTATACATGTGGTTTCAGTGTCATGGCAGGAGACAGGCCAATGCCACCAGGCAAAACAATGCCAGTCCCAACCAAAGAAGGCAAAGTACCGTTTCACTTATCAGGGCAACATGTGCTTCATAAATAGCACTGCTGGGAATATCAGTTCCCTCATGATCCAAACACTCACAAAGCCAGCATTCAAATCTCGGAGAGGGGCCATAATTGATTCTGATTTAAAAATTACAAGTTTCGGGGCTTTAGAACGGAGAAGTGTGGCACAGCTAAGAGACTGGCCAGTCTGGGGTCTGTAAAATCCGACTCTAATAGATGGTTGTGAGGCCCTGGGCAAATTCCTTAAGCTCCCCGTGCCTCAGTTTCCTCAAATGTAAAACAGGACTAATAAGAGCCCCTCAACGGGTTGCGGGGAGGATTAAATAAGAGAATACGCCTGAAGTGTTTAGAAGTGCGTGTGGCACATAAGAAATGATCAACAAATGTTAGCTAGGACGACGTAGGAGGATGACGACGACGACGATGCAGGGCATCCAGACTGAAAGGACAGGGTGGCATGGACCTTTCAATCACTGCCAACCGGTAAACGTTCACGGACTGTCTACTTAATTAGCATAAGACCCGACGGTACTCGGGATACAGAGACCAGGGTGCAGGTCCCCGCCCTCAAGACGCCCGCCGTCTGCCGCCGCTTCGGGACACCGGGCAAGACACCTGGGAATTGCAGAGCCCGCGAGCCGAGGCCCAGGCCGGCCGAAGCGCCTAGCCCTGGGGCGGCGGCACCACCCGGCTCGCCCGGCGCTTCGGGGGAGGGCGCCGGCCCTGAGGAAGGGGAGGTCCCGCGAGCGCTGCCCACCCCGAAGCCAGCCCCTCACCTTCCGGAAACTCGGGCACTAACAAGTCCTGCTCCCAGCCGTCCACCTTCTGCAGATACTGGTAGACCAGGCTGTCCTTCTCCTCCTGGGTGACGGCGTCGAGTAGAGCGTACTCTAGCGGGGTCTGAGCCGGGAGCAGGCCCGAGAGGCTGCAGCCCCGAATTCCGGGCGCCGCCATGTTCTCTCCGGACCGTCCAGCGGCAGCCGCCGGGCCCGCGGGAGAGTCTCGTTTCGGGAGAGAGAGAGCGTTTACCGTCCTTTGGTTTCAAAACGGCACATTCACCTCACTCTCCGCCAGCCCCACTCCACACTACGACCCTTATTTCTTTTGTAACCCTGCGTTCAAATGCTAAAGTACAAATTGTCGCAATCCCCCGGGTACGTAAACTACCCTCCGAAACCACCCCGCCTCTTCGCCATCTTCTCGCCACAGTTGAGCCTGGACATTCAGAGCGCCAGATTCAACATGGAAAAGTCCTCTGAGTCAGCGTTCTAGAAGGTCTAAGAGAACCATGCCCTAACCCTTCACTTTGGGAATTAGCGGCTTTTCGAACAAAAATAAAAGAAATCTGTAGGACTTGAAAGGGAACAAATTTTTTTCACTCTTTTTAAAGTCCCGCTCTTAGAACAGGATCAGCCGATTCGACACAGCACTGGCAGCGGGAAACTGTTCCCGCCAAGACAGGAAAGGTAAAGGGGTAGGGATATCCTCAAAGGAGAAGAATTTTTAAGTTGGGAGGGACTGGCCAGTGGTTTTGGCTTATGCGCAAATACAGTATTTTGTCGTCTCGGAGTGCTGAAAGTGCGGGCGCGAATAGATTGCCAGCCGAACAGCGGGAGGGGGGCGCCGAGGGGAGCGGACGCAGCTGGAGCTGGTCCCGGGGGTGCGGGTGGCAGGTGGGCTGCGGCGAGGATGCCGGAGGGCCGTGCTGCTGAGTCTTCAGAAGGGGAGGGCTGTGGTGGCTTTTTTTGGAGGGGGCTGTGATAGCAGCTCTCTCGCTCCTTGCACTGGAGGGGGTAAGGTCCCACTCAGGGGTCTTGCAGGCTCCTGCGTCCAAACAGAAGGTAGAGCAAGTGGGAGGCATCAGGCAGGTGAACCTTGGTTTTGAGGCTAGTGGAGAGAGGCCTGGCCACTTCCAGGGCAGACTACTTGTGTGGTCTGGAGTTAGGAGTGTGGCTTCAGTGCAAACACGACTTCACAGATGTGAATCTTGTTTGTTCGTTGTGCAGTGTTTGTTTATTGCTGCTGGAGGAAGATGCTGGACTCACTCAGGAAACTGAAGTTGTTGAATATCCACGAGTCAAGGAAAAGCGCAGATAACGTTTTTTGAGAATCACACACCTCTGATTATGGTGTGACTAGTGTTACTAGCAAACGGAGATAGCCACGTAGTGTTTGGAACACCTGCTGAGCGAGGGACTGTGGTTGCATTTGTGAATTATTTGGACAGTTGTCCATTTGAAAGAACTGACAGGCACTTGATAATTTTACAAAGCTCTTTCTAAGATTAAGCTGTTGAATCTATACTTCCCATTAGTGCTTAATTTTCAAAGTATTACTGATTCTTATTTTTATGAATCAAGTCCTGGAAAAGTCCTCGATACCTGAATGAAATAGTAGCGACAATGGAAAAGTCAGGTGCTACCCCTGTGGTAGGTGCTCTTAATTTTATTGTGATACAAATGGAATAGCAGGTGTTCTCAGGTATAAGGTTTGTAGTTTGCCAAAATATTCATTATCAGGGCTTCAGATTCCCATCAAGTTGTGGGTTTTTTGTTACTGTTTTTTCTCAGCAAAATAATTCCATTTAAAAATTTTGTAACAAGGAACAGGCTCTCAATTAAGATTAGTGCTTCTTTAATGATAAAATCATTTTGCCATGTTAGAAGACACTTTTTCGGAAGAAGACATCTGGGAATACAAATCCAAAAGAAAACCCAAACCAGTACATCCGAATAATTGCTCTGAGAATACTCCAAAATCTGTTGAAAAAGCAACAGATGGAAAATACCAGTCCAAACGAAACAGAAATAAAAAAAGAACTGTACAAGCTAAGGAAAAGGTAAAGGACCCTGAAATGTGCCTTGGAGAAATAAATAGTCAGACTTCTATAGCTTCTGGTGAGAATTCTAGTTGTGGAGATGGTATCCAGCAGTCCCAAGACAAGGAGGCCACTCCGGGAAAGCACTGTGGGATTCACAAAAACAAACAAGTGTCTCCAAAGATACGTCCAGTTTATGATGGATGCTGTCCAAACTGCCAGATGCCTTTTTCTTCGTTGCTAGGTCAGACCCCTCGATGGCATGTTTTTGAGTGTTTGGATTCTCCACCAGTCTCTGAAACAGGTAAGATTACAAAAAAGATAGTGGTCTCTAAATAGTTTAAAAGATGTGCATTAGGCTGGACATATCAGTCCAGTGAAACAAGCAAGGCAAGCAATAAACCAAAAGAGAGATGAGACATTATAAGTATAAAGGACTTATCCTAGAAAGAAACAAGGTAAATGCACTTTACCCATTTTGAGAAGAGTAAAAAGATAGTTGTCAATGGTAGAGTTGTAAAGAATGTTGCAAACTTGGAAATAGTTTAAATGCATTTTATTATTTCATAAAAGCCCCTAAACATCTGTTATTTTCATAAATGTTAGTTGAGCACATAGACTAGATACTTTTACTCTGTTGGCTTACTTGACTCTCACAAGGACCATGTAAGGTAGGTGGTATTGACAATTTATAGATGAGGGTTCTTAAAAGTTAAACAGTTTGCCCATTTTATCTTTTATGAAACAGACTTTAGAGAGTTATGAATATAGTGCGGTCTTCTAAATATGGTTATGTTGGATTTATCATGCTAGTGTACTGAAAGAGGAACTGAGAAGGAGTCTTAGGTTAGTAAGATTCTAATAATGAAAATGTGCCAGTTGATAACTGAAGTAATGCTATGTTTTTATCTTTTATCATATGTAATAAATGTCATGTTTAACATGTAGAAAATCCAACTTGGAGTATATGGAGAATGGGTTATGATGATGGTTTGTATATTTTAAAGTTATCGTATATACCATACATACAATTTTAAATCTCAAAGAATTAAAATTCAGTGAAATAAAAATGATACTTAGTATGGCTTTCATGGTAACTATGATTCAGAAGACATTTTATTATTAACCTATAGTTATTTTAAAGTTCTGCATGAAGATGCAAAAGTACTTTTTTTTTTTAAATTGAGCATTAGCCTTTCCTATAAAAGTATAGCAAGTGAAAGCCTCATCAAATGCTAGTAATTTGCTTTTAAGTGGCTTGAAAATCAGAAATGGAAGTTGGAGTCCCAGGGTGAGCATCTCAGGGTGACATGCCTTACAAGGAAGCCACTTCAAAGAGATTTTTTTCTTTTGGTTTTTCACTGACTAAACTCCTTTGAATAGAATCTCAGATGGTCTCTTCTTGAACTGAATTCTGTTCTATAACAAATACTTTTGTGAGGTGGTTTTAAGTTAAGTTTTTACCAATGAAGTCTTCTAATTTAACGTAACAGCTTTTTTGGCGGAAAAGGGGATCATTTTTTGATAAACCTGGAAATTAACATACAAGGGGATGTGCCAAATGGTTTACAGAATGTTTCTCAATCATAATGGTATGATGGGGAATAGTTTCCAGATTATTAAAGCCTTAATATTAACCTGTTTATCAAATTGAATTTCAGATCTTAGAACAGTATCTAAAATGTTCAGGGTGTGAACAGCCGTAACTAATTTTGTTATTATTGTATGCAGTGTGAATATTAAATAATGGAATCTAATTCAGTACTACAATTGTCATAAATCTGTGTTGCTTGATAAGATAAAAATTGGGGTAGAATGCTGGTTCTGAGAGATACTAGTCTTCTGTACTCTTTATTGCCTGAGCCTTAGTGAACTAGTGAAACTGTTGGTGTCAATTTGTAGCACCTGTTTAAGAAATACCTAGTGCAAGCATGACATACATTTTGAGGGAGCTCATATTTGTAAAAGTTACTTAGGAAAAAAAATGGTGTTAATCTTAAAAATTTTTTTTAAGAAATATTATTTGAAAAGGAATTTAAAAGCGTATTTGATTTAAAAATAATAACTAGCACCTTGCCATGCCATATTAGGTTAGTGTTATTTTGTGCTGATCTTGTGATTGTGTAATGATAGCCATTATCCTAAGGCTGCAAAGTAGGCCTGATGACTTTCCACTTACGTGTTAATTTGTGGTGCTAATGCTGTCAAAGCTTAGTTTGTGCTTTGATCCTGTAATACTTTTTTCTTTACAATTGCAGAGTGTCCTGACGGTCTTCTGTGTACTTCAACAATTCCTTCTCATTACAAGAGATACACTCACGTCCTGCTAGCTCAAAGCAGGGCTGGTAATTGTCCTTTGAGCAGTCCCTCCCATGGGTCAGGTGGTGGTTTCAGTAAGACGAATTCAGGCCCTCTTTGTAGCCTTGAGGAAAAATGGTCTCTATATCAGAAACAAACAGAGAACTTAAAAAGTATTTCAACTGATCCCTTTTTGAGGACACAGTGTCTAAGAAAATCTCAGTCTCCAACTGAAACCAGTAAAAAGATTTCCTTTTTGACAAATATCCAAACGCCCCAACAAGCTCCACAATTTACACAATTTGTTAATAATGGCAAACTGCTGGGAGTTGGTTTGCCTCTTGCTGAAGAATCAGACAGCCAGCACAACTCAGAGCACATAAATTTGCTGTTGCCAGAAAATGACTTTAGCAACTGTGAAATTTCCTATTCTCCACTTCAAAGTGATGAAGAAACTTACCGTATGGAAGAAAAGCTGGATGATTCACAACAGGAACTACTTTTTACAGAAAGCTCTAAAGATGGCAGCCTAGATGAAGATGATAGCAGCTCTCCTTGGTTTAAAAAATTCCGTGGTCCCTTACTGAAGGACCAGGAGGAGAGCTGCCCTGAAGTGAATAGCTTCTTAACTGAAGATAAATACAATGAAGAATTGTATGAAAACAATGCTGTAAATGATTCATCTCAAATTATTTTCCAAAATGAGAGTATTTTGTGTGGTGATCCAGCATATACTGATGATGATTTTATGTTGTTTCCACCTGCATTAGCAGTGGGGCTTGCTGCCTCTAGTTATCAAGCCACTAAAGCAAAACCTGATGAGCTGGAATTTCACTCATCTCAATCAAATAAACAAAAACAGGTCATTGAAGAATCAGCTGTTTGCAATCAGATTTCTCTTCCTTCACTTACAAGTGAAATGTCAGAGCCTTTTGCAAGCCAGGGAGGAGGGTGTCTTTCTTTCTACCCAACCCAAAGTAAAATTAGAGAAGTATCAACTAATAACCTCAGTGCTAAGAACAGTACTAACTCAGCATGTTTCTGCAGTAAAGTTACAGTGTTAAATACCGAGAAATCTTGTAGTACGCCTGCTGCTGCTAAGTCTTTGAAAACATTCCCCTCTGGTCCTAAGTGTGATGCAACACAGCCTTCTGCCAAGGTCATGAAGCAAATGGATATAGGTGTGTATTTTGGACTACCACCCAAAAGAAAAGAAGAGAAATTGCTGGAGAAAAGTGCGTTAGAAGGGGTGAACTTAAATCCAGTTGTAAGTCCTAATGAAAAGAGGTCCCGGCAGCGCAAGAGGAAAGCAGAAAAATCTTTAAGTGACTTAGAATTTGATGCAAAGAATTTAAATGAGAGTCAGCTCTCTGTGGAAATTTCTAGTGAGAAGTCACAGCGTCAAAGAAAGAGACTTAAAAAGTCAGATTCGCTACAGGAAGGAGCACGTCAGAAGAGGTCAGATCGCCTTATTAGCAGGACAGAATCTGGAATAGTCAACTTAAGTAAAGACAAAGTCTTCCTAAAATCAGCTTGTGACAGGCTGCAGAGAGGGAACACGAAAATCCCAGAGTCATCTAATTCAGGACAATTAAGAAAAAAGACATGTCCTTTCTATAAGAAAATACCTGGTAAGTTGAAATATCAATGCTTAATACATCTACAGAGAATCAACTTTTTTGAATTTCATGTTCATTGCCCATGTTGCGTGTGTGTGTGTGTGTGTGTGTGTGTGAAACAATGTTTTGTGTTTCCTTTGCTTTTTATGGTACTTCGTTGACCTCTATCAGATTTTTTGCCTATTTAATCTTTTTCACTCCATTCAATTCAGCAAACTTTTATTAAACATAGTCTATATACAAGATACTGTACTAGTGAGGTAGATATTACAGATTTGGTAAAGATTAGTAAAGATCAGCTTAATATGGAAGGAGAAAACGCACTCTGTAAGTAACTATAATAAAAGACAGTCTCTAAGCGCTTAAGAGAAATGCCAAGTACTAAATAGC